GTCACAGCTCCAACTAGGCTCATGGTGGTGGCAGAGCTAGGTGTAGAACCCAGGTCCTGGAACACACTTTCTCGTCACCACCACTCCCTCCAGATACGGCAAAGGGGGAACAGAAGGTGGCTGACGGCAGTAAACGAGGGCCTACCGGTGGAACGAGAAAGAAACTAATCACCTTAATTTACAGAAAGCAGAGAAGATTTGGTCCAAAGAAGCCAAATTTAAACCAGACTGTTCTCCTTGACCTCTAAACTCCAAACCACTTGGCTTCTCCCCCATCGTGCTATTGTTTGTGACCCTAGGATATCCTTTTTTACTTGTAGCAAAAGGTTTATTACTAAGTAATTTAACAGGCCCGATGTGGTTCAGTTATCCAATGGCCTATGCCGTGTTTCACTAAACCATGGCCTAGTAAAGTTGCAATTACAATATCTTTGGGTTGTTGTTTTTTAATAAATTCCTTTTAATTGCAGCATTAAACCCCAGATGTCATGTTTCCAGGTTTTTAGTTTGGACCTAAGCCAAGCTGGAAGAGACATCCACTCAAGGCAAATGGCTGAGGAGGAGCATGTGTGCAGTGAACTGGGCACTCAGTTCATTTGCTTAAACCCCAGGCTCTCTGCCCCTGAATCTCTAATCTAAGGCAGGAGTGGAAGGCAGAGCAAAGCTCCCACATTTCCTGCTGCATCCACTCCTCCCCAACACCCACGTTTACTCCAGTTGTTTCTGAGAGTAGAAATTCCCTATAAGTTAGTCATCACAACTTAAATAACACACTAATTTCATCTGATAAATAAATTGTCAGCAGCCTTTAAAAACTGGTCATGTAATTAGGAAATCTGTGCATTTTGACTTCTTCCCTCTAGATGGAATAAGCATGAAATCAGACTGTAATCAGACAAAAGGAATTTTGAAACCTCCTGAGCCTTCTTTTTTGATCTATTATTTGCCTTTTTAATCACTACCTTTTTAGTCAATAAAATGCTCCTCTTTTTCTTGTAAGAATTTAGCATCTACTGAAGTGTGAAATGAAGGTTTCTTCTGGAAACCTAATAAATATGAAAATTAAAAATCTATGCATTGTGTTTTTATACAGAGATGCTCACAGCAGTTTCTTAATAGTAAAATTTTAGAAACATTCTGAATCTACAAAACTAAGGGAATGATTAAGCAAATTATGATATTAGTCAGTGGAGCAACCATTTAGAATTGTTTACCAGGAGATTTTAATAATATCCAACAGCAGGATACAGAATTGTATATATGTACCACAAATACAACTTTAAGTTTGTTTGGTCTTTTAAAATTAAACACACACACATAAAATCAAAGTCTGAAAGGAAAATTTTCAAAATTAACAGTGGTTATTTGATGGGTAATAGTTTTATGAGTGATATTTATTTTTCATATGGTTCATATTTTTTGAATTTTCCAGGGAAAATTATTACAATAATTAAAAATGCATGTGTGTTTGTATATATTTTAATGTAATCATTCAACACTTCAGCAGTTTGGAGCTCAGCTATCTTAAAAATCTGGAACGTTGCTAAGATCCTGGAAGTAATAAAAAAAATTAATTCTGAAAAAAGTTAATTCTGAGCAGCCAAAACTAATGTTACAAAACTCATAATAAAGCAAATTATGCCCAGGACATGCTGGCCGATCACTCAAATCCTATTTACTCTTACTTTGCACACAATTCTTAGGACATATACTTTACAAGAACACAGCAAATTAGAAGAAAACATTAGAAAGCTTGAAGCCCCTGCAGCCAAGAGGTTAACACAGCCTCATGGGAGAGGGCACAGGAAAGCTCTAGTACAGACTTAAGAACTCTCAGGCTCATGCCCTAAGAAACACACCACTGAAAATCCTGTAGTCTCTTTACTATGTCATGGTTTAGTAATACATGTCCATAGTGATGGACCAGAGGTGTGAAAATGCCTTTATTGGCCCTGGCTGGTGTGGCTCGGTTGGGCATCGTCCAGTGAACCAAAAGGTTGCCAGTTTGATTCCCAGTCGGGCACATGCCTGGGCTGTGGGCTCAACCCCCAGTAGGGGGCAGTTGTGCAAGAGGCAGCCCATCCATGTATTGCTCTCAAATTGATGTTTCTCTGTCTTCCTCTCCCTTCCTCTCGCTCTAAAAATCAGTTTTAAAAAAGACCTTTTTTATTTAGCTTACTCTTTTTAAGATTGTAAGAAAGACTTTAATAAAAATTTTTGAAAGGTTTCATTGCACATAGCTAAAAATGAGGAAGAAAAACAAAACATGGTGATTAAAGGGTAAACTTTAGATATGTAGACTTCTTTATTGCCCATCCTTAATAATGCATTTTCTTACCATCCTTAAAAGGAAACATTTTACTGTTATTGGAGTTTTCCAAATTGTATTTTAGACTGTCATTACTGGGATTCTCATAAAAATCTAAAGGAACTGGAAAAGACTGTCACAAAATCAGGATGTCAGAAAATATCAGTCTCTACCTCTGAAAAGCCTAAGAATTCCCTCTTTAAAATAGGAGTAATACCCCGAAGCTTAGATATAGGTCGGGCAAGTTCAATGAAAAGGCCCGTAGAATGGCATGTAGCTTGAAGTCTGGCACATCATTGGCACTTAGCAAATGTTAATTGAATTTGAATATGATTTTTCCCACGTGGGGTGCAACAGACTGTGTGGACTCTAGAGTCAGACTGAGTCTAGTTCAGATGTGGGTTCTCCATCCTTAAACAAACCACAGGACCCACTCCTCCGCCTGCCTTTTTCACAGGGTAGATGTGGTAGATGTGAGGGGTCAATATTATTGATGCTCAGGAGCATGGGAGTACCCTTCCCATCGCAGCTGCAGGGAGGGATGCCATACTTCAGTACCTTCCTGTTGTGCAGAGCTGAGGAAAGCTTTTAGGGAGTCTCAGAACCACAGAGGGCTATGTAAACCCCTTTCCTCTGTTTCTCATGCTCTGCCTTTCATCAGCCCAGTAGGGAAACTGAGCAGGGTAGGGTGGGGCGAGGGAGGCGATGGCAGCAAGGGAGGTGTCATGGCATTCACCCTTCGTAGCCATGAGTGGTTGAGCACCTGGCGCCTAGTCCCATGCCAGCAATATCACCTCCACTGTGCCAGGTGGTTCACCTGGTGCCTCCCACCCTCCTTGGCTGGGGTGGGAACTGCCCAGAATAGGCTGTGGGCAGTGCTGATGCTCTGTTTTGGTTTGATTTCCTAGGCCCCCTGCAAAACCATTTAGAGACCGACACCTTCGGAAAGTGGTAGAGTGAAAACAACAAGGTTCGCAAAAATGTGCAGCTTACTCAGTTACTGCGAGTTTTGACAACATATTAACTGAAAACCTAGATTAAGGCCAGCAGATTTTGCTCTGTTTCGTTTTGTTTTTCTTGAGAACTAAAAACAGTAATTTTCTGGTGTATTTGCCGGTTCTGTGCACCCCCCTGACCACCCCTAATTATGGAATCTCTCCTGGCACCAACACTTATAGCCAAGCAAGGTTGTCTGACAGACCCCTGGATTAGAAACCTGTGGTTGTCTTTTCTCAAGAAGAATCAGCCTTGCTTAGGCGTCTGAGATCACAGGGATAATCCAGCATCAGAAAAAAACCCGAGAGAAGGAGCAGGGAGCTGGTTCAAGAGCTTGTGGCTGTGGACACGTGTAGAAGGAGCCCTAGATCCTTTCTTTTTCAGGACACATCGCAGTTGTGGTTGAATGTGTATTATTTCCATAATTGTGGGTGTCTCTCCTGCAAGACTGGAAGCTCCTCAGAGACAGGGCCTGCCCGACTTGCACTTGTTTCCCATCCCCGAGGCCTGGCACTGTGGTGGCTGTTTGTATAGTCCCAGGTCTAGCCTCTGCTCGTGCCTAGTAGTTGTCCTGGTGCAAACCACTTCTCTGTGGGTGTTTCCTCATCTGAAGAACACACGAGTCTCATGGGTCTTGTGTTTCTACCTCCCTCTGTCTCTGGACCCAGTCTGTTCCTATAGTTATATTGAAGCTGGCTAGCTTCATCCAAGTATAATATCTAGAATTGTGATCAATACTCCAGGGGTGGTTTTACTAGTGCAGTGTATAGCACGACCATTATTTCCAGGGTTTGGATACTCTCTTTCCATTAACTAATTGTTATTTATTATTTCAGACTTTGGAGTAGTAATGTATACTCTACCTTCTTGACAGGGTTTTTGTGAGGACCAAATGAAATGATGTGTATGAAATTACTTTAGAAACTAAAATTTGTATCGCTTAATAATGATTATTATTGCTGGCCCGAAGTATCTTCCTGAGAAGTAACTAAAGTTTGAAAAAAGGCACTTAAGACCAAACTTATAAAACTTGTGTGACTGGCCTTGTAAAGAAGAGAAGTCATTTCCCAGATTGTTTTCATTAATATATATATGTGTATGTATGTATATCCTCAGGCCTCTCTCTGTCAGTTCTCCAATCCAAGGAGATTAGCATTTGGGTATTGGAAAAGCTATTGATTAGCACGTCCTGAGTCATGAGTTTGAGTCTAGCATTGCCACTGCTTCACTGGGGTACCATGGGCAAGTCACTTAACTTCTCAGCCAAATAAGGGTGCCTGCTCTATGAAGACAAAATAAGTTGAATATGAAAAACAGGAACAAGACTATGGGTAGCCCTTCAGATATAGAAAGTTGATTACATCCCTTATGTATTTTTCTTCCCAGATCCGATCCCTCCAGTTACTTCAACTCTTCCCCACATGGCGTGGTTTCCAACCCCCAGCCTACCCTGGGCGCTCTCCTCTGGGCATATTTCATTGTCTTGTATATCCTTCTTGAAGGGAGCTTCCAAAGTTGAACTCAGAATGCTCTGGGTTGTTTCTTTCATTGGGACACTACAATTCATACGAAGAATGATTAGTATCAATTTTTATTATCTCAAACCTGAACATGCTCTTTCCCGTCTCTGGATCCAGAAAGATTAAACCGAGTTCTGAAGTTGAAAGTTAACTTCTTGTTTCTGTTTGTCTTCTAGCGATAGACATCACACCTCCAGTGCAATCCCTGTTCCAAAAAGACAAAGCTCCATATTTGGGGGTGCAGATGTGGGCTTCTCGGGGGACATCCCTTTGCCGGACAAAGGACACCGAAGACGGGCCAGCTCGGAGAATGAGAGACTGCACTACAAAACCCCTCCCCCCAGCTACAACTCTGCAGTAGCCCAGCCCGCGACCCCCGGCCCCTCCCTGGGGGAGTCCGAGAGGAAGACGACACCCCTGTCGTCCTCCTTGGATGCCTCCTTGGACTTCTCCAGAGAAACCCAGAAAAAGGGAGAAGGTTTGGTTGACAGCTTCAGTGGAGGCCCCGTGAGCGGGAGCACGAGCCGAGAACAGGGAGAAGCCCTGGCCGGGCC